ACTTAAATTTGACTTTATTCCTAGCTATGTGCTGATTTTGTTCATTTACCATTTGTTGTGGTACACAGTTGGTTTAACAGAGCTTTGTTGGCGAAAGCAGCAATTAATGGTTGATAAAACCTGAATTTACAGGAGAGATATTTGGTTACAACAGGCTAAATATCTAAAGGTGATTGGATGGTAATTGTCTGTGGATTTGCCATGATGTAAACCCCATTCAACTAACATTTAGAAAAATGACTTTTTATTTAGTGGAGCTTTGTTTAGTTCTCTTTTTTGTTTTTTGTAAACAAGAATGCCAGGCATGAATCAAATCCAAGGTTTCAGAACTCCTACAAGCTGAATGCAGTGTATCACAGCATAATATATATGGTTGTGTTGACAGGGAGGATCTCTTTTGACAGCTTTATTCCCATTTGGCAGAGATTTGGTGTAGTGTGAATTGAGAGCCTGAGCTGCCACGGCTCTGTGACACGCAGACCACTGAATGCTAGCAAGTCGCTGTGTCATTAGGATTCGGATCAGGATGCCGTCTCAGTCGACACCAAGTGAGGTGAATGAACATGTCTGTCTGCAGTGAGACGTTTTTCTTTCAGAACCTGCTGTGACGCGTCTGGAGGGAAATTGCTTAGACTGACCTCTGTACTTGTATGTTATCTATCTTGAGTATTTCCCTATTAGTTTTTTTAACGGTTCTCGATCTTCAGGAGAAAGACGGCATGTCCCTTTACTTCTGGGTGGGATTTCCCTGAAGCGTTATTACCTGACGGGATATAAGAAATGCCACGAGTTCATGATAAACTTTCAGTTACATTGATTATTTGCACAGATGCAGAAGATTGTCCTTGAAGAATGAGTGTCTCTGCAGTGTTGGCAGTCAGTGTCACCAACTGCCAAGTCATAATTTTGCCTGTGTGCAAAATTGCATCTGCAAGCATGACAACATTTTCAACACACTGTATATCAATGAGGATTAAGACAATTTATATGTGGGGGGGGTGCACAGAGACGTACAATGTGCTGCCCCATCTCCTTCTGAGGAAAAAAATAAAATACCTAAAAAGGGAGTAGGGACGATAAAAACCTGTTACATTAAATTATTCCAAGTTTAAACCTCTGGAAGACGAGTTCTAAGCTGCAACTCAGCAAGATTGCCATTCCTCCCCCGTAATCTATTTAACCCCCAGGGGAACAGAAGAGGTATGGGCTAAATTAGTGTAATCTCAATGAGGGTTTCTTGAATATGGTGGTTTCAGCCAGTGAGGAATGGTATCCGCCTCCAGCCTCAGTGGCCTGACAGACAATGAGAATATGACCATGAGGATCGATACATCCAATCCCCCGTGATTAGGTCATCCATTAGTTCACTTGATCTTTCGACCCACTTACATAGCATAAGATGAAAACTGAATCGCTCAATACTTGCTGGATGATGAGTCCAAATCCCTGCGTTTCTGAAGGAGGAGAATGTTTTGATGCAGCACATGCAAATAAGTTTGTCTTTTGTATTTTGGTGGTGGTGGCGGAGTCAGGCAGACATCAACTGTCCCTTGAACATCACAGCGCCTCTGATCCTCGGCTCTCTGCAGCCTTATGAACGCTGTGTAGTGTAATGCATGTTCACATACTGTGTGAAATGCAAAACCCACACTGACTGAGCCGCTGCGAGCAAAAAATAACTGCCCCCTGAAAGTGTCTCAGCTCGACAGAAAGAAAAATCAATCAACGAAAGGAATTAGAGTTAAATAAAATAAAATTAAGGGGGGCATTTTAGTGTGCCAAATGTCTCTTTGCAATTATGGGGAAGAGAAGGAGTCAGAGATTAATCATAACAACCACTAAATGGAAGTCAGTTTGAAGATAAATCAGGTTCCCACTGTCAAGATCACTGTGTGAAAAAGGTCACTTGCTTTGAATCATTGCTCCGCCGGCACCAAAGAACAAGAAGGCCGATGCAGGGTAGTGAATTGTATTTTCATAAACTTAAAAAATAATTAAACTACAAATGTAATTTGGATTTTCTTATCTACATAATAAGACAGCAGTCGTGTTTGTGTTCAACATTGTTCTCTTTATTGCTGTGCCTCACAGTCCATGTAGTGCTTTGTGTCTGCAGTGCTGTTAAAAAAACATATGTTATGACGGCTCTTTAGCTGTGAGCACAGCAACTTGCTTTCGTTTAAAAGTCCACCAGGGAAATCAATACCTTGTTTACAGCTGGAATTGGACAGTCAATGTTACGATCATCTGTTTCCAATGACAGTAAAAGGCAGTTACTGGAATTATAATGCCAATTGTCTTTTAGAAGGTCAGCAATTGATCAAGAATTAGCATTACTTATCTTGCGATTAAGAGTATTAATCCATATTTATATGTCTGTTCAAGCAGTGCTATCCAACTGGAGGTGCTTGTAACCCAGGGGGGTTACTTGTGTAGTTGTCAGGTACATGGAAAGGTTTCAGAGTAGCTCAGAGATTCTGAAGCACAGAGCACTGCTGTGGTGATTGAAGGTGTTTGAGAAGTATGGCAAGAGAGCAGAGTTGTTTAAACAGCTAAAATGTATCAAATTCTACTTGAATGTAATGTCAAATATCGCAGGACACTTAAATGAGTATTGGATATATTGTTAAAATTGCTCAAAGTAATGGATAATCGGTTGAAAGAGTTATCTTGAAGTCATGGATGAACGTGTTACATTTATTGGCCTAAGGTATAGAATGAAGAGTTAGGATTGTTAGCTTAAAATGACGGATTAAAGGTGGAAATAGTTATCAAAAAGTAGGACATAAACTGTAAAATAATATTATAAACATTCTTAAAAGAAAGCTAAAGATAATGGACGAACAGCAGATGTTAGCTAGGGTTAGCCTGTCATTTAAAACAGATTGGGATGAATATAAATTGTCAGCTAAATTAGGCAAATGGATAAACAGCCAATTTAGTAAAAACATCTGGGTATATGATGATATAGCTAGAGCCTAAATACAAGGTTAAAACAGATGAAGCTAAAATCATTGTGATTTGAATAAACAACAACATTTCTGGACGAAGGTTTTATTGTGTTTTAGTTATGCCTTGCTGCTGTATGTTGTATGTACTATAACCCTGGTACTCTATTCCATGCTTTTCTTTACATGCCAGTGAAGAGAAGCAATGCCAATACAATCAGTTAATATGGTGAACAACACATAATGGAGAAGTGTAGCTTCAGCCATACCAAGTCGTAGCTAAATTGATCAAATTAAACATTTATGAAAACATTATCATAGGCTGTCAGTATTACTTTGGCTTATTTGATTGTATCGGAGCCGTAACAGCATGTAAATACTAAATGTAAATACTGAGTGGCAAATATGCAAAAACGGCGTCGTCCTTGGAGGTCATATTTATCAGCGCTGTGTAAGCTGCTGCAGTAACCCTCCACTGTTGTTCTTGTTAGTCGCTGAACAAAAGACCCATCAGGCGGTTTGTCACGGGGGGGCGATAACAGTTGGCCAGGTGAGTGGAGGTCAGAGCACCCTGATGCGGGGTAGGGTAAGGGCAGGGGGAGATGTAATGGAGGCATGGCAGTTAAATGCCGGGGGCCCCCGTGGGGAATGGGACGGGGGGCCACATCACCTCAGGCATCTCCTGACCGCCGGTGATTGATGGGGAAGAGCTGACGAGCGGCTCCCAATGTCACTCTCCAATTAAATAACTCTCACGGCTGAACTGCAGCCCCCCCCTCCTGCAATACACCTCCCTCTTCTCCTCCCTTTCACCTTTCCCTCTATTATCACACCCCCACACTCTGTACTCCATCTCCCTTTAAGTTGATTCCTTATTTAGTCCATGTTTATTCCTTTAGATATATAGCATTGCATTGTTAGCCTACATGTCCATTGTCCCCTGTGTCCTTTTTCACTTTTGCTAACTGCTTTTGCAGGTATGACAGACAGAGGCTTTCTATTAGTTTGGGTCAGTGCTCTAAGTGACAATTGAAATGTTTTCTGTTTCAAAAAAATGCTATTAGCACCAGGACAATCCCACAGAGGATGGCTAATGATCAGGACTGTGTTGAAAGTGAATGTAGTGTTTTCTCATGGGAGAACAGGTGTACATATTGCAAATCAATGTACATGTATGTAGAAATGAGAGTTCAAACTGTTTACTCTGATGAGGCCCGGGAAGAGAAGCTGTGCAAATGCACGTGATATTAATTGGGGACGCCTGTGCAATGTTTACAGTCCCTAATTAAAATGGTAAATAATACTGGTTTTGCTTTCAAAGGTCTGTAAGCGTAAAGGTGCAGCAGTTCACAGAGCCCAGCCTCATGCTTCTTCTGCCACTGCAGGGGCTCCGTTCGCAGCTAATTGGATGAAAAACAGAAATAGAGATGAAGAAGTGCAGTTAAAAAGGGAAAAAAAGTCAATTTGGAAAGCACGAATTGTTCAATGCAAATTAAAAAAAACGGGACCCTTTAATTTGCTCCTCAAACATGCAATTATTGTATTGAGGAGTTAATTAATTCTCAATGTGAACCAGAGAGGCGTTCATTTCCTATCATTGGTTGAAGGTGTCAAGAATTTAGTATTGATTTTCTTCTCACCAGCGAGGCAATCATTTAACAGTACACATGCCATCTGCTGCCAAAAACCTGGCAGGTTTGGAAACTCGGCTTCTCATTCTCTCTGCCAAAACGCTGCGTGTGTCTCTGGCTCCCTCCCCGCCAACTTATTTTGGTCAAACTATTTCGATAGGCTCCCTCCGCTCCAGTCAGGGAGGATTTGGCTCAGATGGGAGCGTTTCCTGTCTCGTATACGCGCACTGACTCTCCTCGCTGCTGCGCGTCCCCTGTTGCCGATGTAAGACCGCGATAGATACCCAAAAGCCTGCAGCTGGGGTTCCCTGCACAGAGGCAGCACTGCGCAGGATAGAGGGGAGAGATAGAGGGAGAAAGGGAGGGAGAGAGAGAGAGAAGGATCAGACTTGCCACATCCCCGCCAAGGGTGAGCATTTACGCGCGATCCAGTAGCCGATCTCCAGCAGCCCTGCTCTGCCACCAGGACTAATTTCATCATGAAAACTTTCAAACTCTTCATTTTCACATGAGCTGTTTTTCTCAGTTTGGTGCGTGGTGTGAACAAAACAACTTTTCGCAGCAGACACCATCTGTGCCGCGGCGAAGTTATCTTCTTCTGGTGAGTAATTATTCCAATAGATGTTAAAGCGCACTGAGGATAGTTTTAATCAATTGTAGAGTTTATTTAACATTCCCCACAATGCATCACTATGTATTCAGTGCATTTGTTGTCCCGTCGCTTATTCTGTAATTAGTATTCCATGGACACGGGTTTCCTGCTGCGGACGCTCGCTGAGAATTTGACTGTCTGTGTGCCTGATTCCCAACATGTTCCTTATTTGCCACCATCCTCTGTCTTCTTTATTTCATCCTAACCCCCGAAGTTGTAGGGATGTTTAATCGATCTGTATTAATGATGCGCGTTGTTTTTTTGTATCGGACAAACTGTCTCTTATCGATTCGGGGAACAGGTGCGCCCCGCGAACTTTTTTCTGCATCGTGCAGGTGTTGACAGCAAATGCGCAATGATTGATACTTAACAGCAGGGTCAACGCAGTCAGGTCACATCTGTGCGCGTGAGGAGCCGAGCACGGGGCTCCCTGCTAATTTACACTGCGAAGAGTCGCTGAGTGCACGACTGCAGCATCTCATTTTATAAATGTGGAGCGGAATTAAAAAAACTGCAAGCACGCGAAAAAATGAACTTCCATTCAATCAAATTAGGGTTTTTAAAATAAAAATAAATATGTCTCAACAGAATTCATGACATTTAATAACTGCAGTGGGAATAAGAAGAAGACATTTGAACAATGTTCCACTTGTTTAAGGACATGCAATAATGTGATTTATAATAATGACGTTTTTTTGCAGCACAAGCGTATTATTTTCAAGCAAAAGGCATTAACTTATATGAGCTCTGTGTGTACAAAACAAGTGGTTTTTAACTGAAAGCCTGTAGTCCTCAAAGCGAGTGCACTATTTTATTATGATATAGTTTTCTGCAACCCATCAGCAGCATTCATAATTTATATTATTGTGGCTATATGGACATGGAGGGATGTTATTGTGTCTGTGCATCTGTGGGGAACTTAAAGTCTCAGTTTTAGGACTTTTTAGTATCATAATTCCTACACATATTTAGCTTTTTCTCTGAACAGATTCGTTTTTGCTTATTTATGATGGGAATATGAAATAAAAAGCATGAATTGCACAAGATAGGAGTCCTTCAGTGTCACAGCTCAGCCTTTTTTACTTTAAATTATCCACTCTGGATTCAAGGATAATACTACATTGTAAAATTCTCTTTTCAAGGGTTATTGAATGAAAAAGGCTAATACATCATATGTATTACACAAAAGCTAGCCTATATGTTACATTGTGTCTTTCCATGCAGCACGTGAAACATAAACAGCATTATTTTGTCTCAAATACAAGCTTAGGATGCCAGAAGAATTCAAAAATAATTGGAGACAAACAATCAGGAATTTGAGGAGACCGCCCTTCAACAGGGTTCAAGATCCCGAATCAGCCTTCAGAGTCAGAGTCCTTGAAGAAACAGCAGCTTGTTGTCGCTCTGTTGCTGACCCTCTGCCCCCTTTTTTCTCCTCGAAAGAATCAAACAAAGAGGGACGGTGCAGGACAAAAATCTGTTTCAAAACTGCTCATAGGCTACCTTTTTCTTTTCTCACATCAAAAAAGGTCTCACTATTTGATGAAATGAAATCATAAACAGCGTTTATGAAGTGTCTGAAACCATAATTAACTTATGTTCTGAGCCCTTTGTGTAGTGTGTTCTGACCCACGAGTGAAGACACTCAATGATTGAGGAGAATATGGATCAGAGGAAGCGTGTGATTGGTTACTGAGCGCTGTAGCACTGGTAATCCTGTTGTGAGACTGGCAAATGGGATTAGGACACTGTGTGTAAGAGCAACAGATCCGAGGGATGACTGGGAGGCTTTACATTCACGGCTTTATCTCACATTTTCACTTAATTTCCCTTCATGGCTTTGACACTTTCGCCCCAACAAAGAGTCTGTTTATCCACAGGGAGTCCAGCATGGACTTTGAGCATTATCTTTAAAAGGCTCGGCTGAGTTGACCAGTAGATTGTATTTCATGCTGATATTTCAATATTGGTAAATAATGAGAAAAAAAGTACCAGCTCTTAGATAATTTTGGCACCAAAATATTGCCATTGCTTGAAAGCAGAATTATTACAAGCTAGAATGCATTTAAAATTGATTGATATCTGATATTAAAGCAATTATTCTGTTTTGCACAATTCTCCTATTCCAGCTTTTTCTTGGTTTTTAGCTCCACTCTCACTCATAATATTTGCAGACATCAGGAAGTGGCTTTCAGTCCTGTACAAAAACAACTTCCACCCAGTGAGATAATCCATCACAGACGACACAACGCCGGCATTTGTTTTTTCTGCCCAAGTTTTTAATTTTTTTTCTGCCTCATTGTCACTTCATTTTGCCCAAGTCGAGTGTGTTCCTATCAGAGCTGCAGTGCATTACACTCCGCTTGCTGTCAATCATATAACAGGAAGAAGGAAACATGTCCATGAAACACACATTCATCTGCTTGTTTGCGAGTATAACTACCAATTTCAAGCTAGATTTGGCGTTGGGTGCTTTTAATCTTTAAAATGATTAACAATAAAAAATGAATTGAAAAGATTGATTTTCTCTGCAGCATGAATTGCTTAATAATCTCGACAAATTCACTACACAGCAAATCAGCCAAAGCTCATTTAATAACAAGCCAATATCTGCTGCACCCTAAAGAGCATTAGTGTTATCTCCTGTCTGTATCTGCCTCCCATCTCGGGGTTTGTTCGGCGTAATGAAAGCATTAACCTGGCCACCTGGCTCAAACTGACCCTGCTCCCATCCCCCCCAACCCCCCCCAATACCACCGCTGCAACCTGCCTTCACAACCCTGCAGCCAGATCTGCTCCACTTTCCACCTACATTGTCATGCACAGGCAGTGACTCTGTATGTGTGTGCACGTTCATGTGTTGCAGCCTATTCCATTCCCCATTAAAGTGGTTCAGGGTGTTTCTACAGATGTATGGCTTCTTGGATAAAGCCTTGCCTTGTGGATGTTTGTGTGTTTTGTGTAACTTGACTATAAAGTCGAAGAAAAACATGTTTAAAGAAAAAAAAAAAGAAACTTCCAAGGTGCTAGATGCTTACAAACCCCGTCTAGCTGCCTGCAGAGGTGACAAGCACGCTGTTATTATTTATTCCTAGGTTGATAATTAACACCAAATAATGACTTTGCCATGGCAAAATAAAACAAATGACTTCCACAGGAAGTGTAGTGTGCTGTTTCTATTTAGCCAGGGGGAACAGAGAGGAAGCAAAAGGAGAACTCAAGAATCTGTGTGGGAAGAAAGAGGTCACTTTATGCCAAAGCAATTACCTTCCTCATCCAGGGCCCTGCCAATACTCCTGTGTAGAGGAGAGGGAAAGAGAGGTCAGGGAGGAAATAAATATATGTGTGGCGGAGTTGTTTAAACGCCTGCTTTCAGAAGACCTCCTGAAGTTTAAATGCCATTTCTGTCAGTTTCAAGATATTGCGAAAAATCTCCCAGCAAAGTCTTGTGTGTGTTTTAATGTTCCTCCTTCAAAACATTTACTGAATTTCAAATTAGGCAGATAACAACAGCGATATTATGAAGTTTAATGTAATTGCACAACTACTCGGGCCTGCCTGGATGTGTTGTGACACGAAGAACATTATCTGTCAGGCGCTGATGCTTTTCTTTACTTTGACAAGTCTTCATGTTCTGGCATCTTGGGGGATCGGCATGACGACGACGGGGAGACAGATCCCCCGTGCATTTGCTCAGTTCGGCAAACAGACTGCTGGGAGTAGAGGTCAGGAGCACTCGGGCCATCGTGCTGCTGACAGCTCCGATTTATTTTTTATCTCGGTGATGAGAGCTCGCCACACAGATCATGTGGCTTGTTAGTGTTGAGTGGCGAGCGGCGAGCCCCGCCACCATTATGCCACGCTCTTATACAAAGAAAATGTGACACAATAATGACCTTGGTGAGGTAAAGCCCAGATAATTGGGAGCCAGCTGAATGGCGTGTGATTGTTATTCAACGCGGCCGCTGTTGTTTCATTCTCTGTGAAATCTCCTTGCGGGTCATTTCCTCCTCCATCTTCCCTTTATTAACATTTTGACCTCCCCCCATTTATCTTTGCCAGGTGTGAGGGTGAAGGATATTGTGTTGATTGTATGTGCAAGATTTACTGTCTACTCCTTTTTGATCAATCTCTCCAGAATTGGTGAAAAACGTCATTATCATTGCATCAGCAAGCACATTACTTGCTGCCTAAAGTGACTGCGGTCACAGAGGCAATTTTGCTGACGGTACTTTCTCTCTTCTCTCCTCTGTGTCTCTGTCTCTCCCTTTTTCCCCCCTTCCCTCTCTCTCTGTTCTGATAGGTGCCAATTATACAGCCTGTGTTGAAGCCTGCCCGGTCGCACTGACCCTGTTACCCAGCTTTAATGTCAACTCCCTGGCTCCTAAGTGGAGGGAATTACCCCACTTTTCGTCTCCAATCAGGAAAAAAGAAGAGCAAGACAGCACCATGCAGAGCTTGACTCTTTTTCAACCCATGTGCTCTTTTCATGGTCTGACTGCTCTTGCTCTTTGGTGAAACACAGGGTCAGGACTGTGTGGATAAAACCTTGAGGGGTTTTGACATTTCCGCCGTACTGTCTGTTTTCTTTTCCCTTTTTTTTTTTGCTCTTTTTTTTTTCTGGCGTCGCTGCTTTTTGGAGGGGATCCAGATGATGGGGTGGTGTTGCTCGGGCATATGCAGAGCCCTGGCTCTCCTGGCACTCCTGTTTCCCTCGCGGGAGAGGGGCTGCTGGGGGCTGAATCCCAGCTCTGGGGATCTGGAGAAGTCCCCACACTCTGATCCAGACCCCTGGGAGGCCCTGCACAGGCACAAACGCAGCTGGGTATGGAACCAGTTCTTCGTTTTGGAGGAGTACACAGGAAATGAACCACTCTATGTTGGCAAGGTAAGCTACTGACCGTGTTATCACTGCTTTACAATGTCGTGTTACATGCATATTAAAAAGAACAAATTCTCTGCTTATAAAATACGATTCACACATATCCTATTTGTGCACATCTGGCAGCAGGTTTAGTGCGTCTGTACACTAATACACATATCAATAACCTCTTACCATAATGACCTGCAGAAACTGGGGCACAGCAGTGAGTTCTACATAATCCCAGTGCCCTATATAAAGCGTAAAACAAATGACAAGACATAACGCAGCGTAGGAAGGTATTTTATTCCTACCCGGGCTGAACTATGTGCTCGAAAAAATCCGCAGTTTCAGTTAAAAGGCCTGTGTACGACGTGACAAGGTAATTTGCATCGTAATCAGTCTCCAGGAAAAAGGTATATCAAATGTGTCTTTGTACTGTAGGTGTTCTGCCAAGGTACAAGCAGATGGATCAAAGTAATGCATGTTTTGGCAGATATATAGGTTTAAAACTTCCCAACTTTACAAATGGCATAGTTTAACTGAGGGTGTACCTACTAAGTGACTCATCATGCATTTCTGAGATTCAGTAACACTGCTATTTTCACTTCCTCCGGTAAAAACTGATGGATGGAAGCAGCATTTCAGTGTTGAGCTGGTATGAATTGATATTTGTTGTCCATTTTGACATTTTATTGTTATTTATAAGCCGGTCATTTTGTTCATTGTAAGTCAGCAAAGTAACTCAAAGCTGCCACTTGTAAGGAAGTAAAAAGTGCATTATGTCACTGTAAGATGTTGTGGAGTAGAAGTTTGAGGTAGCATAACATGGAAATAATCAAGGAAAATACATATATAGGTACATCCAAATATCAAAAACTTGACCCAACATACATATTTACATTCCACCACAATTTTTTGGGAGTAAATAGTACAATATTCCCCTTGGGATGTAGTCAAGGTGAAGTATTACGTATCATAAAGTGGAAATACTCATGTAAAATGCAGGCACAGGTACCTTAACATTCAAAAACGTATTATTACAGATGTCAAATAAATGTTATACAGAAAAAAGTACATTATTTCCGTCCGAAATGTATGAAGTAGGTATAAAATAAAGTAAAATGTACTTAAATAAGTTCTGAATATCGAGAAAATAAAAGTAGTTACACTCCAATACAGAAGTAAATAGTTACTATAGCTGACAAAAAAGTGGTATGGCAAGGTAAGATTTTCCTATTGTTAAATTATAAAGCAGATTGAGTGGCTATAATGAAGTAAAATACACGGATAATAATCTCAATATATACAATGTACTGATACTAGGGATGTGCATCTCCATCACTGAGGCCGATGCGATGCGCATCTCGATACGTTGCCACGATACGATACATTAACGATACATTTGAAACACCAGGCGATGCGATACGATACGATTCACCCCTGTTGCGATACAGTTCGATACGATTTGATTCAACATTATGCGATTCGGGGCGATACGATACGATTCAACACGATGCAAAAATAATGATACTTCAATATGGTACGACAGAGGATTTTTGTTTTATTCCTTATATGCAGCAAATCGTACATTAACAAAAAAGTGCTTTACATATTTGGTACTGCACATCCCATCATGCCGTTTATTTTTTTACCTTTAAAAGCTCTCCAGAGTACAATTGTATAACACCTCACAGTTAAACAATGTAAGGATGCATTGCTCATGATTAACAATGTGCAAATAACAGCTACCATAGAGCAATGCCCATACAGCTGCCAGCCTGATGTGCTTAACACTCAGAGGCTAACTCACCAGTGAGCAGAAAGCAGTGGTTTCTATCTGAACAATAAAGAAAACAAATAACCTTTCACAAACAGGTATTTCATAATTGTTTACATTAAGGAAGACATTTAAATTATTATTGGCCGTCACAGGCTGCTGTAAGCTAAACACCTCTCTCTGACAGAACACCTCACTGAGTGATTTAACTCATATGTCTCACTTTCAGGTTTCTCTTTTCAGTCGCAGACCCCATGTCGCCTCTTTATGTGCGTCGCTAAGTTCCTCGAACTACTTGTGTACTTTAAAGCGGCTCGGCATCGTTAACAATTTGCGAGTGATTTTTCAAGTTGACCGTCTGTAGTAATAGTGCCGCGCACATATACCATCAGGACGTTACTGATGGGGTGCGGCTGCGGAGTGATACTGTGTGTATGCAAGTCCGCATCTATGTATCATGGCTGTAGACCTGTTAAGTAATAAAGATACCTCATACAAAGGTCTACGGATACCTTATTACTCTCCATGACCTGCGGTCAACTATATAGCAAATGACTATTACACCGTCTTTCTTGAACAATCCGAAGTGTTGCCAAACGTTTGATTTGTAGGTATTTTTCGGTGCGCTGTGTTTCTCTTTCTCCTCAACTTCCGTGTGTGTTGATAACTGAGACTCTCGTCCTCCGTAGTGGCGAAGCAAATATCAAAGATCGTCTCTGCTGAGCGTTGACAAGATGAGGGGATTTTATATGAATGAATCGGTTTTTTACCGATGCAAAGACGCTAGGCAATTGATGCATCGCGAGTTCAACCCGGTTCAACCCAAACTGTAGCCGATGTGCACTCTTTCAACCGGTGCACTCGCATCTTGAACGTTTATGCCGGTGCACCGATGCGAATCGGTGAATCTTAACATCTCTAACTGATACGCATTCATAATATCGACAACATATTCCCTTCTATATGTTGAAACTGCCTGTGTGTGGTGTTCACAAAGCTTTCAGCACCACCCTCTAAGTGGACAGCTCTCGTCTGGAAGATGGCTCCAGTGTGTAAGCAGGCCAGATGGGTCTTGGATTGCTCTCCAGATCCCTGTTATCTTGGAGAATTTTCTGGTCTTATTATTAAATTAATTTTCATCTTTCCGCTCATCTGCAGGATAATCATTCTCATCTGCATGTATTTGCAGGGTCTGCTCTCACAAGCCCATTTCCTCGCTGCCTCTGAACTGGATTAGCGTCTCCATCTGGAATTAGGATACATTTGACGGTCCTGTTGTTCTCCCTTTGAGTTTCTCGCCAGAGGGAGGCTGCAGGAAAGCACCTAAATCAGAATGAGCTTATTTGTGACATTGCTGCAGTTCAGCTAAAGGTCGTGTCTTGTCCAAAGTATCTTCAAATCCAGTCTTGTATGATGTGTGTGTGTCCAGTTATCCACTCTATCTGACTGAGTATTTTGCTGTGAACGTTTGTTGTGTCCTTGTGCTGTGTTTACTATCGAAAGAAGAAAGGCCAGTGTAGATTTCTAGTGTTTCTTTTCTTTTACATTCCCTTATGTTTGATTGCTTTTCTTGTTATTAAATCCCCAGGGACGTGAACATGCTGATTATTAATTCATAGATGTGTTGAGATATGCTTATCCCCAGTGAATACACACATTTGCCCATCCTTTTTCTAAAAGGGAGCACATTTATGATTTGTTATGACTCATGTTTTTGTGTGTTTATAGTGGCACGTGTGAAAACAACAGACTGGGCTACATGTTTTCATCTGACCTCGTGCCCAAGCTCAATCTAACCCTTTAAGGAATCTGAAAAATCCGATTCACTTACTCCCCGCAGGCAGGGCCGTCTGCCTGGGAGCTGGAGAAGCTGTCACATTATTTGTTCCCCAAGATCACGGTTGTCACATAGTGTGTGTTCTTTTGGTATCACAAGGGTGGCGGCTGCTTCAAAAAGTCAGAGCGGGCCACCCTGACCTTGTGACTCAGTGTAAGCGACATGGAAGGTCCCGCCATGTCAACAGAATGCCCTTAATGGATTTTCTTTTGCCACATTTAGCCAAACCTACGAAGTCAGCTTTAAAGCTCTAACAGATCATAGGCAAAAGCACCAGAGTTGCATTAACAGTAATGATTTTTGTCACATGTGTGTGTATCTCAAATGAAAAACAATAGAAACTGTGTCCAAACAATGGCACCCTCGCTGCACAATTAGTTCATTTATTTGGCTGCAAGCAAAGGGAAATATGATATAGTTGGTAGGAAATTAGAAGTCATCACTTTGGCCTGGCTGCTCCCTTTTCATCTGCACCCTGCTTGGCTTTAATGCTTTCTGTCAGATTTGGAATTTCACAACCAAATGTCCTATTATGCCTTGGCACTGTGCCTGGGGTAAGTGTACTGGCCTGGAATCAGCTGCAGTCACATCAGGCCGGTGGAAACATACATTAGGGAACAAACTGCACGGCGGAAAATTGGTGACGCACATATTGAAACAAGCAAACAAGCCACAGCAACTCATCCACTTAGCAAACACTTACTTGTAAACATGATTTGATTAGCATTTTCTACTGGGTGTTCATGCGACTAAATATTTGCAAGTGTTGACACGTACCAATCTAGCTTCTGCTGAATAAGCATCGTTCGCAGGCGTGTTATTTTCCAACACATGTTCTGATCTTTTGTTTTGGGACATATCATTTTTATAGTTTGTGTTGCCTCACATCTTGGGAGGTGCCAGCGCACACAGACACACACACACACACACACACACACACACACACACACACACACACACACACACACACACACACACACACACACACACACACACACACACACACACACACACACGCACACACACGCACACACACAGAGCCCTTATACTAAATCTCACTTTATTTATAAAGATGTTTTCAAATGTGGCAGTCCAGCTAACCATCGGAGTAATGGCTGGGCTTATTTACTTCACTTTATAATTATGGCTGCATTCAGACTCAGTCTCACAGAAGGACTCCTTCCAATACAAATAAAAGAGCCTCAAATGAAAAAAACATCTCCTGATGGAAGAATCTCTTAGCTCGCTGTCATATCTTCAAGTGAGACTGAAGAAAGGGAAATTGCCCGTCTCGTACGCATGGGACACAGGAAATGTTCATGTTCCTATTGCAACAAGTTTTACAGTTTGATCACAACCATTATGCATTTTTGCGAGCATGCATCATTAGTCATTTCTGACCTGGTAGCA